GAGAGAGAGAGAGAATGAGGAAAGACAGTCACGCTTTATACTTAACGATACTTTATTGTTTTTATCATTACATATTATTATAAATCTATTATTTTGACACATACAATACTTACTAAGATCTACTGACGATTCTTTTTAACGATAGGATGTGTGTGTAGCCTATAACTAAACATATATCTCGACTTTGCTGCTTACTCTTAGCGGAGGAACAAAGTGAAGTACCGCGACGTGCGTCTCGTAACGATTGAAAAATATTACGAGATTAGTAAAATATATCACCGCCGAAAATCGCTAAATACTCGCTCGTTACGAGATATTTACGTTTCGAGTGCAGTGACCATCACGATGTAGGAATGGTAAGCCTGTTTATTTTTACATTAAAATATAACTTTTCTGGCAGATTTCGATTTCGCTGTTGAACGTAAATTACATATATTAGTGATTCCGATTTTCAAAAGAATTGTTTAAGCGCGTCATGTATTTTTAATTAAATGTTACATAACCAATTCTCATGTACAAATCAATATGGTGCTGTTTGATCGTGCATATTTCGACACTCAAAGTGTGTTCAATTTTAATAATAAATTTAGATTTTATCAATAAGATTTTTTTTTCATAGTTTCCATTATAATTTGCCATAAAATTTAATTCTACAAGTTCGAAATTTTGGGAACAAACGCGCTCACTTTAATTAATCAGAGTTTCGTTCGACAAATTAAATTTCTTTTGCAATGCGCAAGTTTCTGCGTCTCTAAAAAATTTAAATTATATTTATTTATTTAACATTTAGACGGAGACTCGCGTTAAAGATTGCACACAAGAATGCTGCTTTGCCAAAATGCGAAACGTAACGAGCTAATGGCGTCATTAGGGATTGTCGTAATCCTCGAAGCTGCGGTCACTTCATCGCCCGAAACGGAAAATGTGTGTGTGTGTGTGTGTGTGTGTGTGTGTGTGTGTGTGTGTGTGTGTGTGTGTGTGTCCTAGTCGTAAAATGCCTTATAGATATTCACAATTACGTATGGATCGCGCTACGGATTCGCCTTATGTACACCAAACGTCTACTTGACCGCTTACGGCTAAATGGGAAGGGCGGGCGGCTTTACATTAAAATCCACCGAAGAAAGACTCTCCCCGCTGTAACAGAGTGCTGCGCATATATTTGTTCGGGATTCGTATTTACAGTGCCGATATTAATCGACCATACACAAGCGGCCTAAGTTCGCCTAATCGACAGATCCGAGCAACGAAAGTGAAATCAGAGGGAACGGGCAACTTATTCGCACAACGAACTTTGTTCGCAAAAGCTCACTTCGACGAGTGGAAGTACATCGTTCTATCGTATTATCGTTCTATTTCTCTCTAGTTGCTGGGTATTAACGAGAGAGTTTTCAGAGTAATTAACGTTATTAAGATAATTTAAAAAAAAGCCATATTCGAAGAAACAAACTAATAAGTGCACTTTCCTAACAATTGTTATTGTCTCAAAAATATATAATATATATTACTATAATCAAGATGATAGAAAAATTTATGAAAAACAAATATTTTATGAAAGTGATTACGTTTTGAAAAAGATTTGTAATTCATCATTTTATATTGGGAATATATCAATATGATTATAGGACGTCTACTTCCACTAGTCGTTTTAAGAAGCAGCATGAATGTTAAATAAAAAACGCTACGCTCTATTGCACTACGCCTTTTTACAAAGATGCACCAATGCATATATATGGAATATATACGCTGTTATCCTTAATATACGTCTTCCTATAGTTTTCGTGACGCATCTTGATTACTCACTCGTAAGAAACGACTATTCAGAATTTTATGCGCCAGGATTAGTTTGATTATATGAGGCATGACTTCTCGCACGTGTCTTGTTTTACTGAATAAAAATTAGGATTTTAGATAACACAGATAACGCCTGAATTTTGATCTTCTTGTCGCCTGCGATTGCTGAATATTTTACTGTGAAAATATACAGCTAACACATGCGGAGCGAGCATCTTGTTAATTTTTAGAGATCTATATTGAACTTCGCAAAGTACAATTCGAATGTAAAAATTCTATTACAAATAAATTCTGTCCAAATGATGAAAATGGAAAATGTTCATGATATAAATGTTCATGAAACATGAAAATAATATTTTTATAAAAAATTAGGAATACTAAAGACTTTGCTTTAAATATCTATACTTTCCTTTTTGATGTGGATAACAAATAAATAAATAAATTTATGGAGAAAATGAATTCCAAATTTTAAAACGCGATACCATGATATTATTTGTGAGATTGAAATGTTTCTTTCATTTGGACAGCGTTGATAAAAAAGAATATTAGCTAAACGACATCAATTACCATCGCTTCCGGAACATTCCTTTGTAGTGCGATTATTTCAAACTTTCTCGAATGATTCTTGATTAGCCAAGTCTCTGATCAGCACGATTCCACCAACGTCATCTCGATATAGTCCACCATTTGATAACGCGATATAGTTCAGTATTCACTTTGCGGTCCGATCATTTTTCTTTTCAAAAGGAGAAGATACGATTTCTTTTTCATTCTTTTATTTCGAAGAGTAGAAGTTCAAGTTTCTTGATTCCAACTATTAATGACAACAGCGGAAAATAGCAATTCAGTAATATTTCAAGAATCCCTACAAGAGTACGACGTTCAGTCGTATCACTTCTGGTCCTTTAAAACTGATCAGCAGTCGCGTATTTCAAGATTGCGACGGCGGTTTACAAGGTGATTAGTATTTTCGAAAAATCGCTGTTCGTCTGAAAGTCGCCGAACTCTTAGACGAGCGGCGAGAAAGCGGACGCCTGGCTTCTGATCTCTCTGTGCTCCGACGGGCTGAGATCCAGCAACGCGCCGCAGTTCTGATCGCTGGCCGCTTGCTTGCCGATGAGCGCATCGATGCTGAAGTTGCGCTTCTTGTCGACGCTCGTCGCGTGGCTGGTCGGCAGCGTCGTAATCCTGGTGGAGGTCGGATCGATCTGTCTGATCGGTGGCGCCGTGATGGGTACCGGTTTGTAGAGCGGTGGCGGCGGCTCCAGGAAGCCGCCGAGTTTCAACGCCTCCAGAGTCGACGGAGAGAAGTCTAGCAACGGTAGACCAGGTGGTGGCGACAGGTAAGCGGCTCCGGGATAGGCCAGAGCGCCAGGGTGACCACCGCCGCCACCCGGGCAGGGTCCCCGGTCGCCGCAGATGGCAAAGGTGGCCATGATCGCTCGATCCCGCAGCACGTAGTGCGGGGGTGGCCTCTTGTATCGTTTTCTGCGTCTCAGGAAGCTGCCGTTGTCGAACATGTCCTCCGCCAACGGGTCCAACGTCCAGTAGTTACCCTTCCCTGGATTCCCAGGCTCGCGCGGGATCTTGATGAAGCAGTCGTTGAGCGAGAGATTGTGCCTGATAGAATTTTGCCAGGCGGGGAACTTGTCGTGGTAATAGGGGAAGCGGGACATGATGAACTCGCAGATGCCGCTCAGCGTCAGCTTCTTCTGCGGCGACTGTAGGATCGCCATGGTGATCAGCGCGATGTACGAGTAAGGTGGTTTTATCAGGGATGACGACATCTTGTCGGAACCGTAGTTGGACGGCGGTTGACCGGAACCGCCAGATTTCCCCGACTGACCCGACGCCGACATCATCGAATACGTTTTCTTGGAGGAGCGTCCGCTGCCGCCGCCGCCGCCGCCGCCGCCACCGCCGCCGCCGCCGCCGCCACCGCCACCGCCGCCGCTTCGACTCCTGCCGGCCGATGGCGGCGCCGACGTCGGCGTCGGTACCGGCGAACAGCTCGGTATCACCGGACTCGACGACGTCTGCGACGGCGGCGACAGGTCGTTCTTGTCGAGACTCACCGGGTCTACGATCATGCTGCTGCTGTCCGAGTCCCGGTCGCTGTCCGCGCAGCCGTCGCACGACAGATTCGACATCATCATCGCACGTGGCTCCATCGTGATCGTCGCCTCATGAGCGTAAGGACTTGTCACCGAGGTGCTCGTCTATTTCGCCCCCGTCGGTCCCGCGATCGGCTCTTCGAGACCACCGCTTGCTCTCATCCTCCACCAAAATTCAACCTCCGTCCGGGATATAAAGTCTTATCCTCGAATTATTTAGTTATTAAAAATCAAGGAATTTGCGTATTACTAATTCTAGAATAACCATATCAAGTTCCAGCTATTCCAAACGAGATATTTCACTTACGAAAACATCTTCTTTTAACAAGAATCAGTTGTAGCCTTTTCCAACGTAATCTCGAAGGGAAACCGCATTTGTTAAAACGTAACAAGAGTTCCGCACATTAATTATCCACCAAATTGTTTTTGTACAAACAATATAATATCCCCGCAATAGTTTCCTCCGTCGAAAATTTTAGTCATCACATAGCTTGAATTTTCTCAGTTCTTAAATAACAAGATCCGATTTTCTTTTCATGTTGTTAATATTGTAATACCGGCTCGCGGTCTCGTTGTATATGAATAATAACGATTCTTCTATGATTGTGCCGTAGTATTTCGAAATATTTCTGCGGATCGTCTACTGTCGGGAAAAGGCGTAGATGACTTCTCCTACAATATATTTCAGCGGAGCGACTGTTCAATCCACCACTCTATCCTCCGCTTGACGAGTGCTATCTTACGCTAATAGTTTGTTTCCACAACGATAACAGATTTTTTTTCACTTTGCCCTGCTTCTTCGTCTTGCTTCCATCCAACTTCAAGCTGCGACATACATGTCAGTTGTCCGACGAGGCACCGTTCATCGTGCACCTTCCATCAACATCCAACTTGGACGGATTCGATAAATCTTCGGTATCTTCTCGTCAGGTATAAAATATATTCTCGCAGTCACGAAATCACGTGATCTTTCTTCATAAAAAAAGAAACTAACTGATTAATGATCGAAATTAAATTATTTCCTGGAAATTAATTTGAGATTTACATCGAGAATTCACGCGCGAATCTTTCGTGACGTTTTTGGGAGGTTTTTCGTAAACTCCTTTTTCCCATTGACACACTTTTTCTGAGATTAAGACTAGCCGAGATTAGATGTTACGAACTCGCGAATGACAAAGGGTGCACGATCGCGAGCGGAGGATCGTCTACAGGGTGAGATCAAGGCTCGAATTGATTTGAAGCGACCGCTTCGGTCCTACGTGGGCGGACCAATGGGCGGGAGTTTCCCCTACCCCGGCTCGCTCCCCATTGCGACGAAACCACCCCAGTCGGTCGGTCGAACGTGTTTCCACCCTGCTAGGACTGCAAGAGTGGAGGAGCGGCGTGCAGAACGGGGAGAAAGCCCCGGAGGGGGTTAGGACGGGAGTTAGGAAAATAGCGGGATAGTTAAAGGGACTTTCGAAGCGGGGGTTGGAGAGGGCGGGAGGGCGAAATTGTAACACTCCGAAGGCTGATTTGCTTTGAGCGGCGCGATGAAGATGGAGCGCGAGCCGCTAATCTACGAGCAGTCGCCGGCGACACGACCTGCTCCGTCGAGCGATTGCTTTCTCGACACCAATTTCGTGTGATGTTCCTTTTTTTTACAACGGCGTTTTAAACTCGCGGGAAACTAGAAATTGGTTTAATTTTCAATATATTTGAAAATTATGAGAGTGTGCTTTTTATCTGTGTAAATTTTCTGTCTGTATAATCTTTTTTTAGCTTGAAGAAAATTTCAAATGTACGACTTAAAAAATGCGCTATTGCTCTGTTGCTTTACTTATTAATTTAATAGACGTTTTATTTTAAATAGCTTTAATTTGTAAAAGTTCACTTTAAATTACTTATTAAAAAATTTATAGGAAATATCGGGATTTTTTAAGAAAAAAATCCGATTTGTGGATGTTTTGGAAGACTTATTCAAAAATCTATCGTAAAATTGAAATTTAATCTAAAATTTCTTCTTGGAGTCTCATCGCATTTTTTCGATACATTTTTACTTTATTATTTGAGTAACTTGACGCACTGACGGTGCAAGGGTTAAGGAAATAACTAAGCGCCATTATCGCATCGCATTTTCATCGTGGAAGTGCTGCAACCAACCAACCATCGACTAGATCTGTAGAATCGCCAACAGAGCGAGACGAGCTGCACGCATCACAAGTTAACTTCCCTGAGGCAGCTCAAAATAGAATCTGTATTACGCCAGAGCGGTACATAGAGAGAGACAGACAGACAGACAGAGAGAGAGAGAGAGAGAGAGAGAGAGAGAGAGAGAGAGAGAGAGAGAGAGAGAGAGAGAGAGAGAGAGAGAGAGAGAGAGAGAGAGAGAGAGAGAGAGAGAGAGAGAGAGAGAGAGAGAGAGAGAGAGAGAGAGAGAGAGAGAGAGAGAGAGAGAGAGAGAGAGAGAGAGAGAGTAGAGAGAGAGAGAGTAAG